GACCTTTCAATTTACGAATTAAATTTTACAGCAAAAGAGTATGGTATTAATTGATAAAAAGACGTCATTATATATCACGTACAATTTATATTGAAAACGAATGTTTGAGTAAGTGAAAACTTTCAATGTTATTTAATTTATTAAAATTTTCATAAAATGGAAAAAATAATTTATTTTTATGAATTAAATGAGGGTATGATTCTTGGCAACAAAATAATTATTTATTTAAAAGTAATGAATTGTTTCTTATAAGCATAAGAATATACACATAAGTAACACAAAGTACATAACTAAAAATCATCATTAGAAAATATTATAATTACCGTAATTGACGATATATCATAGATATAGAAACGACAAAATTAGGAATAACTCATATGAATCTTATATATTTCTTGTAATAATACACGCCTTTCTATTATCTAAATTTAATATTAATTAGAAAAAATTAATAACTTAATTATAACTTATTAATTATTTTATATTATTATTTTATAAGAAGAGATGGGCAAATATCTTTGTTATAGTTGACGAATGAATGTTAAAGAAGTCATTATCAGAACTATGTTGAAAGCCTTTATTTTTGTAGTTGAAGCGTGACATGCATACTTGACTACGAGTTGTCACACTTGTTAAATGTTTGAATGAAAATGGAATTGCAAGGAAAGAAGCGGCGTATGGTAGGTGCTAGATAGGTAGTATTAGGTAGTATTAGGAAAATGAATCTAGATGAAGTAAAGATTGTGAAGGGTCATGCAGAACGGTAGAGTTGTGAAAAGTCGTAAAGGAGGCAAGATAATAAAATGTCGACAAATAAAATTAAATCGAAAAAAGAAATTAAGTAATGCAATATATTCAAAGGATTAGATGAGGAATGAACGAGGAAGTGAAATAGGACTATTGTACATGTACGATTGATTTTAGATGTAAAAATCTTGTCACATTGAAAGAAGAGAAAAAAGCATCTCGAGAAAACACAATCTTTCTACAAAATATGGATAAAAGGCCGATGGATAATTTATTTTTTCAATTATTGTTGTTGTTTTTTTTTTTTTTTTTTTTTTTTTTTTTTTTTTTTTTGGAAAATATTTCGCAATCGCATGATTTTTTACTTATATTTATACGTTTCCATTATTCCAAATATTACTGTTAGTATTTTCATTAATGATGATTATTACAATATATTGGTAGTAGAAATTAATATATAATGAAAAATACAAATTTTCATATATCAAATAAATATTATGACAAGAAAATTCAAGTACTGGCTCAAACATAACAATTATAACAGAAATTTTACATAAACATTAATAATTTTAATAAATTCTGAATACTTTTATTTGTGAATATTATATAAATATTATTGTTTTTATTCGAATGACTAAAAAGTCATTTGTGTGTTCGGTTATTTTAATCTTAAGATACATTTTATTATAAATAATGCTATTATGACATTAAAAATATCAGTACTTAGTATTATTCGTATTTATATGCATATTCACCAGGAAATGCATACAATGTTCATTAAAATTATATAAGGATAATAATATGTACGTAAGACTATAAAAATCTCGATACTATTGTTTCGAATATTAGTATATTCTTTTGTATAGTTATTATCAAATACCTGATGGTTTCATTTTGACATAAATGTCTGATCTTTTAAACTATAGAATAGTCTATTAAATGAAAAGGGATAATAAAATCCATTGATCAAAGTAAAATAAAAATATGAAGTTCCTTAAATTACTGTAGACTTAAACATTTTCAAATTAAGTTTGCATTACAATATGACAATTAACTTTTATTTTTACATTGTAATACATATATTTGAAATAAACTTCACAGCCGAGTAAATTATATCCAAATTTATAAACGATCTCAATCTCAAGTATTTATAAAATTATGCTTTCATATAATATTTTAAGTAATATTTTAAAGTGATATTTAATTCAAATATTATTTCAAAAATATTTCTCCTCATTATCCTACTGATTACGATATTTATTTGTATTAGCGGTTTTAGCATAAAAATTTAAAACCACAGCATAATACAAATCGACGGCCCTAAATAATAAGCATTAGAAACATTTATCAAAAGGCTCATATTACTCGCATACTACTGCCTTGTGAGGTCGTTTTTGGCTAAACGACCATTATCATTCCTACCCAAGTGAATTTGTATGGAGCTACTCAAGCAAAATTGAAATAGAAATTGAGGGCATTTTTCTTGCAGTGGCTCGCTACGAATCTTTCCTACTCTCGCGTGTCATTTACTCTTTACGCGCATTCTCAAACATAAATACGTTAAATTTAACAAGTTAATGAATGACGCGCACTCTGTTATAATAATAGGTGCATCCAGAAACAAAGACGAAGGAGAAAAATGCCGTGTTCCATCTTTACTAGAAGGCGAATATCCAACCGTAGACTTTTTAATAGGAAACGACTATTATGGCGAAAATACACAGCCAGTTGTGAAAGCTTTTCTATGTACAGCTGTTATGCACCAACGTCGCTCAATATACGTACATATTCATCACATTTATAGACACATATGCATATGCATATACGGCTGTTACTAAAATCGAACTGCATTTTTACGAGACAACCTTGAAACGACGTCAACCAGAAACATTCATATTTTTATTTATAAAAACTTCATTTATCTGGAAAGAAAGAAAGCACTTTCTTATTAACTTGGACATTTTTTTTTATTTCCATGTAAAATACCAAGATATATTTTAGAATTTCATGATAATAGTAAAATTAAAATTATCTATATATATCTTTATTTACTCGATGACGATGTTGTGCATAAAACACTTTGTCGTTAAACAATTATACGAGTGTTCTTTTTCTAATTTACAATGTTGTTTGTAATTTTTGACATAACGTAAAATTAAACTCTACCTGACATTTATCCTATAATTCGTGACGTTAAATACTTACAGCCGGATGAAAAATACAATGAAATAAAATTTTTACTTTGGATAAGATAATCTATTGTAATATCTTTCTATGTTATTACTTGTAGAGGTTACTTACTAAAGAAAAATATTAAAAATAATATCAAAGTTTGCGTATAGTGGAGGAAAAAGAACGCGAATTGAAAAGAAAGTAAAAGAAAAATTGGACAGTAACAGATCACTTCGACTTCGTTACGTAGCACTTGTGTATAGTTTTAAATAATACTGCTACGTTTCATTTCTTTTTAAACTCAAGTCTTCTCGATGATGCCTTTCGTCGCACATGTTTCTCTTTGTTTAACCTATCGCTTCTTATTTCACTTTATTCGGAGGGTTTTTTTCTCTTTTTTTCTTTTTTCTTTTTTTTTTCTTTTTTTTTACATTTCAGCCATTCGTTTATGTGACCAATACAATTTATCACTCTGCTACGAAGCATCTTTGATATTATAATTCAAAGTTTTTGAATAATTTGAATATAATTAAAAGTAAACTTATTTAAAAATACTATTTAAAAATATTATTGAAATCCATTCTTTGTCTAGAAAATCGGATAAATAGTGTACGCAAGAAACAAGTAAATAAAATATAAAGAAACATCTCGTTTGTTTATGCAAAATATTAAATAATAGAATATAATATTCAAATAGAATTATTATACCAATGGAAGATTATTTTATGATTTTCTTTTAATACGATGCAAAAAATAACCTGTCCCATATTGTAATAATAATGAGAAAAATTTAGTTGTATTGTGTATGGGAGTACGTTTCACAAAGTTCAATAATGTCCTAAGACTTCCATGAAATCGGAAAACAATCTTTCTTTAAATGCTTAGTTCATTCTTTTTTTTTTATTTAACATAAAACTCACGTATTAAGCCATGATTTATAAATTATTAGAAATATTTAAAATAACATTATTATTGTTGTTATTTTAAATGCTCAACGTTATATATTATACATGAATCCAGCTTGAAATATATGTACACTTACGAGCTTGTGTAACTTATGTTATTAACAATTTGATAACATAATTTGATAACAATGAAATATATGTACACTTACGAGCTTGTGTAACTTATGTTATTATTCGAATGATAAAAATGTTTATATAATAACAATATGATACATAAATATCGTTAATTTGCATTGACATAAAACTTATTAATTACGCATTCAGTTTATATAAGCAAAATTAGTACCAACTATTGATTTTTAAATTCATGATTTTGTTGGATATATGAACTCTTAAATAAATAAACTGACTGACAACAAATTTAATAAAGAGTTTTTTGTTTTAATAATGACAATATATGTTTTGTAACACATTTTTTCATAAAAAAAAACACTTTTGTTCTCTCTCTCTCTCTCTCTCTATATATATATATATATATATATATATATATATATCTAATGCATGCACACACACTTATAATATATATATATATATATATATATATATATATATATATATATAGTTGCGTGTTTGTGTGCGTGCGTGCGGTCGTGTCCATGTGATTAATGAATTTGTGATATACAAAAATTCATTTTTCCTTTTCAAGTGATGCAACTTTAAAAAGAGATTGGCTCTTAAAGTGTCTTCTTCAGTATTGATTCGAAAAAGAAAATATTCCTAAATCCATCTATCGACATTTTAATGTAATAATTCATCTGAAATGGGATAAATACACGGGACTAAGAGATATTCAATGATTACGTTTATTACGAGTCACATAAAAGTACTAAAGTTCTAAGATTAAAGAATTATCTGTATGCAGAATCTTGCGCATAGGAAAAATTTTACAATTCTGCTTTTAGATTAGTGCGAGTAATTTCATGTCAATCTCAAAGTGTGATCCCGTCCCTTTAGTGCCAGTAATAAAGCACTCGGGAAATAAAGATTTTATCTTTAGGAAGATATAGACGAGAGGCGTGGTGAGGCAGAATATATCATAAGCCGAAAAATTTCAAACATAGACGCGATCGCTGAGCATCGACGGCTCGTCTCACCAACTGACTTTCTCCTCACCAGATACGGAAGCCCGCATCACAGTCGCTCACAATCGGTCAAAACGCCGGGCTGTCGAGCATCCGGACGGCCGAATTATCTCTGCCTCCCACAACAGAGGTCGAGGGTTGCGAGTATGCCGAATACCGGCGTCGAAGAGGAGTACTACCGACAGAGGCACTTTAGCATAACACCTAAGGGAGTGGTGAACAGGGGTGACTCTCTCAAGAGCCGCCGCTCGCGCTCCAACAACAGCGTTGCCTCCAGCAACTCGAGGTACGTCCCGATACATCCGATACCCCGTCGACTATACCGACTCACCGCCCCCATGCTACTTTTACACGCTCTCGGCTTTTTTTTCTTTTCCATTTCCATTACTCGATGCGGCGAATTTCTCTCGAACTTTCGAGGCCGATCGATCGATCCTTTCAATAGCGCGATATCTACTCCTTGTTTATTCGTTTCCCTCGCGGGATACGCAGCCTTTTCTTATTCCGACCCGGGGAGATTCTTTGACTTATGCGATCATTTTTTAAAGGCGGACTCGCGTGTTAAACTAAGCTGTTCCCAATAGCAATAATTGTTTATTATTATTATTATTATTATTATTATTATTTTAAATAACTATTTGCCGTACAATCATTTTGCGCTTAATTTATCGACTAGGAACGCTCGATCGATCGTCCGTCATTTTTATACGAAATAGAGGTTCGATTTAACGGGCAGAAGTATATTCGTTAATATATACTTAAAGCGAATAAGTTGCTATTAAAAATGTATGGGAAACATGTGTTACTTGTCGAGATAAGCGAATCGATATTCAAAACAGCGTATTGATTAATATCGAAAGAATAGACGAGGGTGAAGAATAATCGAGGTAGATATACTATATTGTATAGTAGATTATGGTGACCATCAATTGACTGGATTCGTGAAAGTTGTTGGGAACGGACACTACGCGTTATATACTTTGCGAAAGATTTTAATGGGCTGTTATATGAAATACTAACCATCTATTTTTCTCGCCATTGGCAATAAACAGCAACTACTTGCGGTAGAAATCATCGAGTTTCATAGTCTTCGCACCATTTCAGTCTTTTATCCTCAGCCTCCTCCTACTTACACATGCAATCACGCAATAATCATCACACATATAAAATAATATTTTTTACCCCAAACATTTTTCATTTATTTCTCGACATAAGCGCGTGAGGGTGTGCACGCGTATGAAGATGAAGATAATTAAGCTCGAACGAGTATACATATGCATTGCACGTAAATAGAAAAACAATTACGTTGTACGCAAACAGAAATTGTACGACTATTATCTTAAAACAAAAAACAAAAATAAAAAAAAACTCTTCATCACAGATAGACTTATGATGTACCGCTGAATTCTCCTTATTCAACAATCCAAAATATAACAAAATCCAAAATATATTTACTAAAATATTATTTACTCTATATCATTATAGCAAAATATTACTTTAAAACTTTATTCACACGGTATATTCGAATTAACCTTTAAAACACAATAATTCAATCATTACTCTTCCTCTTCCTATTTTCATCTCCTTCATATTTTTTCATAGTCTTTTGACTCCTTAGAGAGGAGAATCTCCCATTTGAGACACTTTATATAGCAACTATTTTGTTTCTCCAATATTAAAAAAAAACCTTTTACATCTAGTATTATATTTTCTATTCATAACTTTTTTAATTAATGCTTGCTTTCGTAATTTTGAATCTTTTTGAAAAGAGTACTAACTTTCAATACAATTAAGCTTCAAATTATATTAGGGTAAATTAGATTCAATACTGAAGTAACTCAAAGCTATTTCAAGGCTGTTGAATGAAATAAACATTTTAGCTTCAATATACTAACTATGATGATAATGTAGCTGAAATTACATATAATTATTATAATTTAAGCAAATGGATTATTCATTTTACTCTTATGAAAACCGATACAATGAATTTTTCGCATTAGCTTTACCATTAAATATATTATCAATAACAATTTCAATTAAATATAAAAATTTAAATAAATAAAAATTTAAATAATAATTAATTTTACTAATATAAGTCTTTTATTAATAGCGATATTAATTTTAAATATTAATTTTATTAATACGTTAAATTTTTAATTTGTATTATCATGATTACATAAATTATTAGTTTTTTTAAATTAAATATCAAAAATATTGAAGATATTTTACTAACCATAGGCGAATGAATTTAAAATATAAATTTAAGCTTAATAAAGTTTTTAAATTGGCATGAATAATATTTATGTCTTACTGGTATAAATACACGATACAAATATTTTGAATATTACTTTTAACTAACATGTACAAGTAATTTCAATTTATATTCAGCTCAATCATATAATATTATAACACTTTTTCCATTTACTTTTAATAGTTTTAATAATAAATATTATATATATATATATATATATATATATATATATATATATATATATATAATTATGTGAATAAAAATATATATTTAAAAAGTATTTAAAAATGGATTCATGATATTAAAGAACAGAATTATAACAACAACATGATCTCGTATTTTTATGAAGCCTATTCTACTAAATCATAAACAATGAGTTCAATTTTTCCAAGTTACGACTAATATATTATAATAGCATTTCCTGACTATAAATAGTGAAATCTCATCTACGTCGGATTGAAGTCGAATCTGTTTAAACTGTGTTAAAACTGTAAATTTACTTCTGTCCGTCTATTTAAGGTTCTCTAATTTCGAAGGAATTTAAGTAAATTTGCTGACTATCAAATGTTTTATGCTTTTGCAGTTTAAGACGATAATAATAATAATAATAATAATAATAATAATAATAATAATAATAATAATAATAATAATAATAATAATAATAATAATAATAATAGAAGCATTAAATAAAGTGAAATGAAATTTAGTTTATTGCAATTTATTTTTTTACAACATAATGATATAACGTATCCGTAAATTATTGTTTTAAACTACATATACTAAATAGACATATTTATTCTAACTTTATGAATAGATATAGAAAATATAATACTTTTTTGGTTTTAAGAAAAAAAATCAATTAAATATGAATATAATAATATTCATTAAAAAAAAAAAATATATATATATATATATATATATATTAATAACAACAGAATAAGTAATAATATAAATACAAAATTAATTCGTTAAAAGTACATTAAAGATATAATGTTTTGAAAAACAATATCTCAAATAATTATGTAAAATTTTAACCTAAATAAGTTTTCCACATATTATAGATTAATTAGAACGTAGATGGTGATTTATTTGTTCAATACATTATATACTTATTTATTTATTGATGATTGAAATATTTATTCGTTATTTTTATATACAGAATTTTCTAATAAATGAAAGCATCAAGATAAAATATATTTATTAAAAACACTTAATTTTTCAATATTAATTTTCAAATGATTTGTGTGATGTGTCATTATTTCACAAAATACAAAATTTCATAAAATCGATTAAAATAATTGAATGGGTTGACTTTTATGATCAATGTATTAATATGTGTCACATAAATAAATAATTTAATAGCTTAAAATTGATATTTTATCATTTAGAAAATTATCTCTGTAAGCTTTAATTACAAATTTTATAACAAAAATAAATTGAGAAAAAAACATTACTAGTTTGAAAAAATTTAGTCTAATAGTGTTAATTTTTTTCTCATATCTATGCTTAAATTATTTACATACAATTTAAATTCCGAAATAAAATTATTATTTTTATTCTTCGATCACACATTTAATATATATATAAAACAGCTCAAACTGCAATGTAGTGTAGATTTTATGTATAAATTTTATACATTTTTTGAAACTATAAGAATGTATGAATGCTGTTGTGAAAAGAATAACACGCGACATAAACGTAGAAGTTGTAAATATATTTATAAAGATTTACACAAGAAACTAAAATTTTCCACAATTGTACAATTTCTCTATTGCCCATGTATTATTAGGCGAAAAGAATATAATAAATATGAAAATAATTCAAGCTTACACAGGGACTTTCAAATTACCGCACTATAAAACCAAGCTGCTTATAAACTATTAGCATAACTATGCTGAAATAAAGGAAGCTGCAATGTGTCTTTTCAACTCAATGTCTTCGTATTGTCTCTACTAGTTTTCCACTCTCATCGTATATTTAATACCAATAATTTCAATACTAATAATTGCATGGAATTTGCATGAAAATTGAGGAAGAGGCCATAAGGTATCGTATCATATTATATATTTAAACGAATTTATGAATTAGATATACCTTAAGCATTGTAAATGTAAATTTATGCTACATTACACCTAACTAACAACAATATTGACTAATAAAATGATTTTAATTAAATTATTTTGTAATTTATTTTGATCATTGATTTATGCTGTATTTGCCATTTTGTCGTGTACAAAAGTTATTTTGCCAATAATTCTTGATCGATGCATTGCGATACCCAAGATGCTTATGTGCTATACAAAAAATTAAAGTTTGAGAGTCAAAAATAAAACAAGTAAAATTAGACATAAAAAATATAAAAGATTTATATTGTGCCTTCATAAATCATAAGCAAATTTTTTATTATTATTTTCCTTTAACATACACTTTAAATGTATATATCTAAATTGTAGTATAATAAAAATCGGCAGATATAAATGAAGAATGAAAATAAATGTCTATAGAAAAATCTATAGAGTGAAAGAATAAAAAAATATAAAGTAGTGAATTAATTATTTTATGGAAATATTTCATTATTGGTACAAAAGCCATAGGAGTATACCTTCAATCTCAAACATTGCACATTTAAAAATATTATTATTATATATGATGTATTTAAAAACAATCAACATATATATTTATAAACGTACACATATCTATAAAAAAGTATACTTCGTACAATAATCAGAAGTTTCTTGCTTACGAGTTTTCTGAAATATTTTTATTGCATTTTTTTTCTTTTCGCGCATTAAGTGTTCTGCGTTCTTTTTTTTTTTTACTATAGGAATTCAATTATTAATAAAAAAGCATTTATTAAAATTGATTTAGATGTATTTTTAATATTTATTTCTTGTTATAAATAATTTTCAATTAATGTAATAACGCCATCAGAGAGTATAATATAAGAAATTATAATTATTGGTTAGTTGATTATTATTGGTTAGGTATAGTTATTATATTGGCTGTAATAGCTTATTTCCAGTACGTATCATTAA